CACTGCCAGAGGACGCGTATCAGCGACCCCACATTGGGTCCGACTGGAGAGTTGTGCGGTACTGGTGCGGTACCGAGTCGGAGCATCCTTCGCAGGAGCTCGGATTCCCGCCCAGAGGCATGTCAGAGGCACATGACTGCGCCTGGTGCATACGGCCCACCATGGACGTATTTGCACTCACGCTTGCCATATCGCCTCTCTCGCTGTACGTACGTGTGCTGCTGCACTGCACTCATATCCGCTGAAGCGGATATACGCAGCGCACACACTGAGCATACTTGCTCTCTCGTTCCTCTCTCGCGGTATGACTCAGCGTTCATACGCTCGCGTTGGATTGAGTCCAGTCTGCGCATCATCACACAGCTGATGGCACACAGCACGTGCTTGCCGCCAGTTGCTTCTTTCACGCCTTGGCGAACGCTCAAGAGCTTTTTCTAGCATTCACTTGCTTAGCCATCAGTGCTTTGTTCTTGCATTCCCTGCTATTACGCAGCATTGTTCCTTTATTTGTACAATAAAGCATCACTCGTGATCTCCTCGCGCTTGCCTGTTACACCTTCGTACCGATTTTTCGTTGTAGTGTCGTTTATGAGATTGGATGTTGTTGCAACAAAAATAATGTGTGATAGATATCCTTCAGAAACTTTATCAGAATCCTTTGAATAACAACCGCATGCAGACGGAGAATATTCGAACGTTATTCTTTTAAGCTCTTCTGTGTTTGTACTTGGGTCCCATTGCACCGGTAACGGAATATTCGGCAGAATCTGTGCGGACCATCTCCAGTGGCCAAATAACCAGATAAATACGTTTTTATATCATGTAGATCATTTTTATGTAAGTACTTACTCAGTTACTCTATACAAGTTAGTAATTAGACCTTTAATAATTATCATGGTACGAGTACAAACTATGCACCAGAACAAAACGGCGTTTACAAAAGAAACACTTCCTCTATGCTATCCTGGTCGGGGATCGTACCCATTACACAAATCCCGTTTCCCCGTTGTATTTGCATAGATATTCGCTGTTTAAAAAACTCTTTCGCCCGCTTTTGGCCAGTTGAATTCGCTATACCGTTTCCCACCGTTTCCACTAGCTTTTTAGTACTGCCTCCTGGTCTCCATAAGGTCCGTAAATTTCGATGGCTGCAGCAACGAAATGGTATCTTGCTTGCATCCAAGCGTGTTTCGCTAGTTTCTTCCTTTCGGCGAGTTCGGCTGCTGCGCCGGCGTTAGGAAACGTATTTGACTACAGAGAAACGGTTTTTTTCTTGCTGCCTTTTTGAGCGCATAGTAGTTTCCCTGTTGGCGCTATGCTGAATCCTTTGTTTGTAAGGCCGCTCACACAGCCAATGAGCGTGTTTGGGGCAGCTGCACAGCAATGGCCGCAGTTCAAAAACGGAATAAAGCCGCAGTTCAAATTGCTGGATTTCGGTTTTCAGGAAATCTGATTTTTCAGTCCACCATACTGTCTCCGGGCCTCTCGATGACACTCTCAGTTCGTGTCGTTCCCAGCTTCCCATAGACTGATTTTTTTAAGTGTTCAGCCGTTGTCTATTTGCTGAGAGATTCAAAAAATGCACCTTTATGGGGAAAACCATCTCGACATCCGTGCGGTGAACAAGTGGAACTCTGTGGATGTGTTAACCGACAGCGGACTCTACCAGCACGGGGAAGTGATCGGCGTGGCGGAGAACGGGTTGCTTGTGGATTTCCAGTGCAGCGGGCAGCGGTCGCAGTTGGTCAGCTACGATAAAGCCTTCAGCGCTTCGTCCAGCCTGTACCCCGCCCCGCAGAACCACTGGTGCCAAGAACTTCATCGTAATCGCGCACGGACGGCGATTGACAACGTGCGAGTCCTGTGGCGCTCACATCCGGATGCGGCGTGGCTGTGGTATCCTGCCCGGCTCCTGCATTGTACAGTCTTCCCTACGGCCTACGTACACCTCGTGTATGCTGTTGTCGAACTGGATGGTCGACAGCAAGCGGAAATTTTTTCCGCCGATCAAGTACGTTTCCGCCCGACCAAGAGGGAGCTGGCCTGGCGAGCGCTGAAGGAAGGTTGCTTCGAAATGCGCGAACAGCGTCTGCCTGTCGATTTTTGGTCGACCAGCAATTCTCTGGCAGCGGATTATTTTCCCCGATACCTCGAGTTTTGGAAAGCTGTTCGTGTTGTCGAGATCCGTAGCGAATCACTGAAGTACGTGCGACGAACGTACCCCGCTGATTCGCTAAGAAAGGACGATCCCGTGACAGAAGCTGATGTGGTGCGTATACTGTACATACAAGTTTAATACTAATTGTCGCTTTGTAGGTACACGTCCTTGTGCTTGTTTTTGTAGTCAGTTATTCACATTATTAACACGCACCAGTTAATCCTACTCGTACTTGACTGGTAAAAAAGTTCCGTTAGCCATTCAGCCAAATGACCAACTGCTTCGAAAATGCCGTGGTTAGAAATATAAAGATGAAAATGGCTCATTCTACGATAGTTTTCGTTGTAGAAAGTGCTGTACGACCGTAGCCAAAAAGCATTCGCAGCGCAGCAGTGCTCGAAAGCTCTGGATTACTTTTCCCAGCGACCGACGCTCCTTAACGCGTTTGGAATACCCCTTAAGGAAACGTACCCTGACGAAGATGCTCGATCCGACATAACCTGTTTATTACCCACCGAGACGCATCTGCTGCGCGAGACCTTCCACTCACTGGACAGCGTCAGCCGCTGGAAACTGCGCCGCGTCCGTCCGCTGTGGGATTCCGTCCTGACCGACGGGGCCAGCGGGAAAACTGTCCGTATTACCTTCTCCCTGAACCCATTTTCTCCACAGATAGCGGACAAGTACGCCTATATGTACGGCACCGTCGCTGGTCTGAACAAGTGCATTAACAGCTCGACTCAACGAATCATCGTTGAACGTATGAAGGAGGATTACTTGAACGGTGTGTTGCCGGTGATTCAGTGGATGGTTCGGGATACCCACCTCAAACAGCTCATTTTTCACGATGTGCAATTTGATTGGGACGATCGCCCCCAAAGGTTTAATTTCCGACACGGTGAGGTGGCTGTTGAGGAAGCGGAACGTAGGTGCAACAAGGTGATACGACGCCTGACCAGAAACTTGGCGGCCTGCTGCGCTGAAGTCGCACTGCGACGCTGCACATTCCATTGCGCCGGGCAGATGACAGCGTTTATTCCGAAGGCGGCGATTAAACTGGGCGCAGCGGATATGAAAGCACAATTCTAGGATGTATATGAGGCCCATCTATCGCGCGACGGAATGGATGTCCAGGAAACGGCGGAGGCGATTCGCACGGAATCGGCAAACCTTCGCAGAATGATTGCTGAGGTACAGTACACAGTCATACCAATATTACTAAAATGGTTCAGAGAATCTGCCGAAAATTGTTGCGCAGTCGGAATTGCGCAGCTCCCGATTCAGCACTTGGTTACGCATAATTCGGGAATGCAGCATTCCAAAATGCGCATGTTGTAAATACGCGGCACAAAGCAGAATAATCTTTTCTGAATTTTTTTGGATATTACAATTAATAATTTGGTGTTTAAAATTTGTTCGTTCACCTGCAGTGTCTCACGCATTGGCAAAGCGAAGATCCGCGATTGATGACGCCGTACCGTGGTCGCGTGTGGACGGAGGAGAACGTCCAAGATGCGGTTGTTTCCAAGTTGACCACCATCGCTCAGCACGCTGTGCACGAACTTGCTCTCAAGGACTCCCGGGGAGAATTACGACGCTGACGCCGACGATGCGGATGTGTAAGCAGAAGAAGCGTGCAGCCAAGCCATCAGCAGTGGCTTAGTAGCGTAAACTTCTTGATTCGTTCTGGCGTGTACGTAGTTATATGAATACTGATTATCTGTGCCAGGACTTCGGCCCCTGTCCTTTGAGGCAAAGGATCTCGGCTTCTACTTCACCAATTTGGTTGCTTTAAAGTACATCAAAATTCTATAAGTGTAGCGGTGGATCCAAGATTGTTGACTTTTTGCCAAAATTTGGTCTAGGTCCAGTGGTCAATCATAAGCTTGTTACCATGGACGCGATAAGAAATGCACACTGTTCTAACACAACTTGACCGAAAACAGCAGAAATATGTGAGCTGCTTTAACAATAAGTACGAGTACGAGCAGGAGTAAAGCATCTTCGGTAGCGCGTTCGAATGTCAAGAGACTCAAGACTCTTTGAACACCGTGCGTTGGTTGTGCGGCAGCGTGATTCTCTTAACAGCCACCCGTGTAAGGTTGCCCATCTACGTGCAACGTGACCGTCCCCCGTGGATGAGTGCTATGATTGACAGTGGCCAAGTTAAATGTGAACTGCCAGCCTTCCGCAGTTCGCTGTTAAGTGAATCATGCTGTTGCACACTCAACGCACAGTGTTCAAAGAGTCTTGAGTCTCTTGACATTCGAACGCGCTACCGAAGATGCTTTACTCCTGTTTTTGTTTTTTTTTTGTTTGCATGCGAAAATGTTTTGCATGCGAAAATTATTACATTATCTGTTTTGCATGCGAAAACAATACAAAGCAATACTTACAGTACTAGCAATAGCGAACGTTGGTAAGTGATGACCGCAGAGTTACGTTCAACGTAATGACCAGTATAAGATATGTATGTGTATGTTTGGCAATAATCAGCAGATTATGCCGAAAGAAGAAAACTTCAAGCAAAGGAACGGTGGTTGATGCAAAGGGCATTCAGAATATAAGGTTCCCTATTTTGTTTCTCCCGGCATAAACTCACTATTTGACTTTTTATTATCGTCCATATTGCTTTCAGTTTGTCCGCATTCCCTTATAATTATTTCACATATGCATATTTTTCCGGTTCGACCTTGGAACTTTCCAATGGGCGGGGAGTCGAAAGTGTCACGCATCGCTACAAAGCACTATGCTGCTCGCTTAGCAACTGCTTACAGTGAAACGACGTCGTAGCCGTAACTGTGCTAAGCCTGCGTTACAGCCAACCGCCCGATGATGGCAACGGCTTCAAGTGCTGCAAAACCAAAATCTTTGCTTTAAAAATCATATTTATTTAATCTTCCATTTTTGACCTTTAAAAGTTCCGATATAGAAGTCCATCTTCATCTGTATGGTTCCTAGAATCTGATTTAAGTGTTCTTCAGTTGTCTATCAGTTGAGAAACTGAAAATGCACCTGTATGGAGGCAAGAGATTTCAAGTGCATCCCGTGCACCAGTGGAACTCTGTGGATGTACTGACGGAGAGCGGACTGTTCCAGCACGGCGAAGTGGTCGAGGTGGCGGAGAACGGTCTGATCGTGGATTTTCGATGCAGCGAACAGCGGTCACAGTTCGTCAGCTACGACAAAATCTTCGACGCTGGGGTCGCCCCGCGTTCCGAGCCGTACCACAATTGGCTCGAAGAACTGCAGTGGAATCGCGCACTGACGACGAATGCCTGTGTGCAAGTTCTGTGGCGCTCACATCCGGGTGCTGCCTGGCTGTGGTATCCTGCGCGCCTCCTGCATCGGGGTTTTTTCTTCCCCTTTGACAGCATTGGCCTCGTGTTCGCTATAGTAAAACTGGATGGTCGACTGCAAACGGAACTCTTCTCCGCTGAGCAAGTGCGCTTTCGGCCGTCTAAGGAAGAGTTGGCCAAACGAGCGCTGAAAGAAGGATGCTTTGCTGTGCGAGAGCAGCGTTTGCCTGCAGATTTTTTGTCGACGACCACTTCTCAGGCATCGGATCATTTTCGCCAGTATCTTCAGTTATTCGAGCATGTTCAGGTTATCGCGGTTCTTAGCGGAACTCTGAAGTATGTCCAGCGAAAGGACGCGACGCCCTTGACAAAAGAGGATGTGGTGCGTATGCATAGACAAATTTCATTGGTTTATCAATTTTTACAGTGTTTCTTTCGATCCCATACACACATTACGTGGACCTCACGCATTATTAGATTATTATTTTTTAAGCAGTTTGCAGTTTTTCAGGTTTATTTATTGATAAAATTTTGGTCATGCTGAATTTTGGCATTTCTGTTTGACTCAAGAGTCAAGAATATTGTACTTCGCAAATGCGTTGCAGATTTTGTTCCAGCCTATGCACATCCGTATTTATTGTTATGATTATGTTGGTTATGTTTACAGCTTTTAGCTTGAAATTAGTTTTGCATTCTCGTAATTCTAATAAGTAATTATTATGGGCACACTGGGCAGTAAATAAACAGGTTAGTTCCCGTTTTTTTGGAAAAATCCGGTTGGTTGCCATGTAAAGTTCTACTGAGATAGATCATGGTAAGGGTGCAGCTTTTAATCGTGCGTTTTGTTGCTAGGCAGAGAAATGCGAGGAGAGCAGAAACGCGTTTGCTCAGCTTCAGCGCCGGGAACATCAGGAGAAGGAAGTTCCAGGCCTGCGGTCGCTTAACGCGATCGAATTCCCGCAAAAACGCAAACTCCTCGACGACGATGCACAATCGGAAGTGGAATGGGTATTGCCAACCGCCACGCACCTTTTGCGCGAAATCTTCCACTCCCTAGACAGCGTCAGCCGCGAGAAACTGCGGCGTGTCTGTCCGCTGTGGAATGACCTTTTAAGCGACGCGGACAGCGCGAAAACTGTCCGCATCTCCTTCTCCATGAACCCGTTTTTCCCACAGGAAGAGGAGAATTTCACCTATGTGTACGGCGCCGTCGCTGGTCTGCTCAAGTTCATTAACGGTTCCACGCAACGCTTGATTATTGAGTGTGTAAATGCGGAGAATTTGGACGGTGCACTGGCGGTGATTAAGTGGGTGTTGCGTGATAAACACCTCAAACAGCTCATCCTCCATGATGTGGAATTCATCTCGGACGATCTTTTCGCGGCGGAATACGTTTACAGCGGGGATGTGGATGATGCGGAGGTGGAGGGGAGAGGCAACACGCTCGTCCGACGCCTGGCCAAGGACTTGACGAATTTGGCGCCGTGTTGCGAGGAAGTGCGACTGCGCCGCTGTGAAATTAACTGCCGCCAACAGATGACCGTGATTGTCCCGCATGCGACGATTAAACTGGATGCAGCGGATATTGAAGCGCAGTTCTGGAATCTCTACGAGGCCAATTTGCCGTGCGACGGAGTGAATGTCCAGGAGACGGCGGAGTGGATTCGCACCGGATCGGCGGAACTGCGCACGATGATTGTCAAAGTACAATAACAGTAAAAAATTGCTAAGTCAAAATACAGTATCGATTTTTCGTGGTTGGTCAAGACTGATCAGTGGTCACCGATCTGGCCGTGGTCTACATTTAATTCTGCATTGGTGAAGTGCAGAATCCGCTTGTTGCTTTATTATGAGCGGGGTTGTTGCAAAAAAAACGCACTGTTGAATTGAATTGAACTACGTAGATGAGTTCCTTTTTTAGCGTGAAATCTTGTTTCTCTGCAGTATCTCAAGGAATGGCAAAGCGACGATCCGCGATTGACGACGCAGTATCGCGACCACGAGTGGACGGTAGAGAATCTCAACGAACTGGATGTGTCCAAGCTGACCGCGCTGACACTTCGTGCTTTGAAAGAAGTCCTTCCCGAAGAAATGGAAGATGCGGAAACCTGAAATGGATTATAGCAACTGCCAGAACTTTTCTCTGCGCCGATTTTTGTGTTACGTACTGTCTTGCCTGAGATTGGAAAACTGTATTGCGAAATTTTGTGTTACCACCTTTGCTGGTGAATATGATGATAAATATTTTTTTTATATGATGATGATAAAAAATTTTTTTGCCTGAATGTTGCGGTTGAATAAATGTCCTAACAGAAACTAGCGCGGTTGCCAAATGCCAATACGTTTGTGAGCCTGCTAATGCCTAATAGAAAAACGTTTTAGCAGCTTTATAAATGTACGTTCTGTCAAAATAATCAGAGAACAAAATCGGTAATTTGGTTTTACAAAGGCGTTGCAAACTTTTCCGGTTTTGTCAACACTTGTTGGTGTGCCCGTAATTACGTGGTTAATGGTGTTGCCTTACACTGATAAGGGGCTAAAATGCTTCTGTATGGAGAAAACCATAGTCGTCTTCGTCCCGTGCACCAGTGACATGGCTGGATAGTTCTGAGCTTCCGGTTTCCACAAAAGATTTGCTGCGCTCGAGGCAGTTATCACACAATAACATCACTCAACACTCGGAAATGGAAGTTCTTGGCGATATTAAGTACTGTGCAGTTTTATGCTTGCCTAAATCAACAGCAGGCAAGCCGCAAGCGTAACTTGCGCAGTACTTTATATCGCCAAAAACTTTGATTTTCGGCATTGCCGTCCATGTGTCTGGTTGTAGTTGTTATGCCAGCCAAAGTTTTACAATAAGCAACTCGTGTCCTAATGCCGGACAGAATCTGCCGATTAAAATAAAACATGATCCGCATGCCGGCGAAAGTGTTCGCTGCTACCTGCTAGGATACGATGCCGAACAAAGCGTCGAACCAACAGCGCTGCTGACCATAATATTCATGACCTGCTACAATTCATATAGTGGCCAAATTCCGATTTGGGTCCATTTCCGGGTTTGTACCGCTGAGAAAGGGCTGAATTCTAAATGATGTACCCTGCTTTCTTCAGTCAGTTGCAGTTTGCCAGTATGTGGCTGGAATTTTTTAAATATTATTGTACATTTGTACTGTACATTTCTTATGCCTCGGTCATACTTCGTGTTCTAACGAAAATTTTAGAACTTTCTGCTTAGCACATGATCTAAGGAATTTGTTTTAAGTGTTAAGTGTTTAAGTTTTTGTTCTAATATAACTGTTCGCAAAAGTATGCTTAGAACAGTTTTATCGGTGTGCTGGTCATACTGCTAACATTGTTCTAACAGAAACTCCACCCGTCTGACCCAAAAATTTAAAAACACATATCAGACTACCATCATTACATCAGAGTATCACGAACTTCCAAAAAACAGAAGATTTCGAATTTGTGCTTTCGTATCTTAAAAACAGTTTTTGCCAAAATTACGCGATGCAGTTTCCGCTCTTCCGAAAGAAGCAAGCGTTACTGTCTCTTATTCTTTGTGCCGCCGTAATATCTCGTCGCAATGCTCGGAAAAAACACCGCGAAAAATATATTCGGGATATCAACTGCAGTCGACACATTGACGGAGAATTCTATACGCTTGTGCAAGATCTGCGGAAGAAAGATCCCGAACGACACTTCAATTACTTTCGTATGACCCAGCCATTGTTTGACATGTTGTTAAACAATTTACTGATGGCTCTACAGCATGCACCAACGCACCGGATTCCAGTATCTCCAGCTGAGCGGCTGTCGATAACTTTACGGTATATTGTTCATATTATTAACTAATTTTTATTTTGAATAAGCTTTTTTGTCACGATTGCGAAACGAGGTCAAACTCACATTCCACAAAACAGGAATACTCTCCATCGCTTCAATAAAACGAGCTTCGTCGCTCTGCTCCCATTTTTTGCTCATTTTGTGCAAAGTATTACGAACGGTCAAATTATTACAATTTTTTGTTAATTATTACGTATTGGGCGCGTTTAAATGATAGCAACAAAAACCGTATCTCTAATTAAGTTCACAGAATATGACCTATGTGTTTTTGACAGTTGGACGCACTTTTTTTAAGTGTACTATTCAAACGATATCCGCATTACCGGCTGATATAACAATGGGAATCGGTGTGCGACCAGGATCCAGTTCCGGTCCTGAGCGCTACCATTGGTTAAATGTATTAAAACATCTTAAGAAGTTTGATTAGGCCCCTCCCCACTAAAACACGTTTTATATGGCTATAAAACATGTTTTAAAGATTTTGTGCGAAGAGTGGTCATAGTTTTTTGTTCTAAGAAAAAGGTGCTTAGAACAGCTTGCGGTCATACTGTTAACACATATTTTGATTAGAACTGTGTTAAAGGCTTCGAACACCAAGTATGACCGGGGCATAATACTTTTCTGTGCGTTTAAAGAAAGAGTGAATTTCTATCGACTTCTTTTAGCGATCTGGGCATCCATCAGGCCATTACGACTTTCAATACCATGCTTTGTTAACAGTTTACAGGGCCTTGTGATAGCTAAAAATGCTCCTATATGGAGAAAGTGAAACTGGGTTTCGTCCCGTCACCCGTGTACCAGTGGAATTCGGTTAATGTGCTGACGGAGAGCGGACTCTTCCAGCACGGCGAAGTGGTCGGCGTGGCGGAGAAAGGTTTAGCCGTCGATTTCCACTGCAGCGGACGACGAGCGCAGTAGCAATACGTTTAACAGAGCACAAAGAAAAATACTACAGTACCGTACTCTCTAGTACCTCCGGCATTGAATTATTAATTGTGCCATGTCAGTATTTTATTGCATTTCATATCTGGCCAAATCAACAGTTTAGCGTGGGGTAGTAACTAAAGTAAGCCTAAAGTAAGCATTTATCATGTTTAAGCCGAACGTAGTAATTATGTCTGTTGCAGTACAAAAACATTAGCGAAAATCCCAGGCGTCCGGCATATAACCATGTAGCCCATGAACCTTTTACGGACAACTTAAGCAAAAAGTAAATCATTTACTGTTAGTTCAGTTGCGGCAAAGACTAAAGAACCGTTAGGTTTTTGACACGTCAGCTGGAATTATTCATCATCTTCACTAGATTCATCGTTATCTCCAGCTTCCAAATACCTCTTCCTGAAATCTTTCCAACTGGAATTATCCTCTTCATCAGAACATTCCAAATCTTCCGAGTGAATTTCTTTCATAGCCCGCAGCGTCAAGTTGGTCAACTTGGATACATCCAGAGATTCCAGATTCTCCTCCGTCCACTCGCGGTCGCGATACTGCGTCGTCGATCGCGGATCAAGACTTTGCCAGTTATTCAGACACTGCATAAAAATATCCACATTTGTGATATCATATTTTAATAAAATAGTTTGTACTAAACTATGCGATATACAGTTGTCAGCAGTAAAACAAACTAGTACTTTTCACCCAGACTTTGGTTTTTTAACTCTGAGGTTCTTTACCAGCGCTTGCGACTACTCTTACTGTGGGTGGTTATTGCCAGTTTAGTGTATATTACAGTAACTATTAAATAAGTGCCACAAATTGTTTGTTTCAAAAACGATCAGTTTTTTTACTTTTGTGCCGACCAGACGTTAAAGTCCTGTTAATCGGGTTGTCCGATCTTGATGTAATAATAATAATAACAATCTACAGCCGCATACTCTTCGTACGAGATCACCCATTCCCCAATTTACCTGAGCAACCTGTTTGCGCAGTTCTTTCGACCCACTGCGAATCCACTCGGCCACTTTCTCCACATCCACTTCCTCGCGCGATAGATGAACCTCATAGAGATCCCAGAATTGCGCTTCCATATCCAGCGCATCCAGCCTGATCGTCGCATGGGGAATAACTCCCGTCATCTGGTCGCTGATACTGAATTCGCACCGATACAACCGCAGTTCAGCACAGACCGGCGCCAAGCCCTGCAACGCCGCCACCAGACGCCGGATACCCTTATGGGCGCTACCATCCCACATAGCCACCCGCCCACCCCAAGCAGCGTCTTCCTTCAGGACATATTCCTCCCAGATGACTTCTCCGTGGTGGAAGATGAGCTGTTTGATGCGCGTATCCCGCAGCATCCAACCAATGATCGGCAAAACGCCTTCATCGTTGGCGCGGGGTATGTGCTGGACGATCAGGCGCTCCGTTGAATTAGCGATGCACTTGAGCATACCACCCAGAACGCCGTACACATTCGCGGAATTCTCCGAATCCATGGGGAAGAACGGGTTGGCCGTGAAGGATATTTGGACGGTTTTACCGCTGTCTGCGTCGCTCAAGACGGAATTCCACAGGGGACACACACGGCGTAGTTTCAAACGGCTGACACTATCCAGAGACTGGAAGATCTGGCGCAGAAGATGGGTCTCCGTCGGAATTAGGCCTCCCATTTCCAAACTGTGATCTACACCTGAATCTCTGGTACTCGGGGCAGCATCTGCGGAGTGTTTGCGCTTCCTGGTTCCTTTAAAGGACTTGGTATCGAAGCCATCCTGTTGGTCTTTCTCGCCGGCGCTTGGTTGGCCAGATTGGGTTACGGTTTCCCGGACCTTCTCGTACACGCATTCCTGTCGAACATTAAGGAGAAAGACAGTTAGAAACGGCTCGCTAAGAAAACAGGCGTGCGTTGTGCGTTCCAATTATTAGGGCATAATGCAGCATACAGGTGAGCACATAACATGTCAGCTGCTCGTTCTCTTACGCAATTATACTGTCAATCAAATAAATGCACACGGCCCTTAACTCAAAAATTAAAGGCTAGGGCTATTTTGCCGCAGTATAACAATAGGGGTCTGAATAGCCCTCAGGCTATTTTGCCGCACACTGCGCCGGAATAGCCAGTTGGCTATTCTGCCGCACTACGGTGGGCAAAATAGCTGGTTGGCTATTTTACCGCACACTGCGTTAAAACAGCTCCTTAGCTATTTTGCCGCACTATGGACGGGAATTGGGTGATTATAAGGTCGATGCTGCGTGCACGGGAAAACACGGGTGTTGGTTGCGTGCACGGTGAGTTTGCAACGGATCCAACTCAAAAATGGCCGTTCCAGGCGCCAACCCGAAAACGAACGCGGTAGCCATGGATATCGCATTACACTTCCAGCTGCTTTTGGCATCTCTCACTTCGATTTTATGCCCTTCATCCAGTTTATAATCTTCTTCCAATTTAAAGTATAATAGTTCTGAAACTATGACAGAGAAATGCAGAGGGCTCCCAGATGCCTTTATTGTACAAATAAAGTGGAGCAAATACCGCGTGATTGCGGGAGAAAAAGACAACAAAGCCAATGTCTGCAAGAAATCAGCAAGTCAGGTTGCTGCGAGCGAGTTCTAGCGCGTAATGAGACAGTGTAGAGAAAGAAGTGCTGGCGGCAACGGCGTCACGCTGCCCAGACACACGGAATGTGAGCGCGCAGACTGGACTCGTATCCAATGCGAGCGTATATGCGCTGAGTCATACAGCGAGAGAGAGGAACGAGAGAGCAAGTATGCTCAGTGAGTGCGCCCGCGGTGGATCCGCTAGGCGGAGAGTGCATTGCAGCCACTCACGTACGTACAAGAGAGGGCGAATCAGCATGTGTGCAGTGATACGCATGCGCAAAGTGGCGTATCTATCACGCAGGCTGTCGTGCCTCTAACATGCCTCTGGGCGGGAATCCGAGCTCCTCTGAGGATGCTCCGACTCAGTACCGCACCAGCGTCGCACCTCTCCGGTCGACCCATGTGGGTTCGCCGGTACGCGTCCTCTTCCAGTGGGAGTCCGGTGTCTGTTGACCGTCCCATCCTTCACTTCCAGATCCATGAGAGGCAAGCAACTCACGGCCGCAAATCTGGAAGCCGCTCGGGCGTTTCGTTGGACCGGTATCGCTTCTGTTGGCGGGCATCTTGCTTCTGTTGGCTCGCGGAGAACGTAAAAGAAAAGTGTAATGACGGTCAAACAGCGCGAAATAAAAAGTAATAAAGTTTAATCACAATTCCAGTGAGCAAAAAGTAATACAAAACAGATCTGGTTAGAGATTCTAAGTAAAATACAATTCCGTTTGTTAGAAAATGTATAAAAATACTAAAAAGAGATCTGTCCGGGGGGCTTATTCCAACTAGGATGACGTCCACGGGTCTTGAGTTTCCACGGGGTTTCCTGTCTAAATGCAGTCCGGTATATCAGGTCCGGGGCGTCGGTTCCCGGGTTACCCAACGTAACCGGTAATTTCGTCTGAGGTCGGGTAAGCACGGCTGACACTTACGTTCGACTCATATCCGTCCGTTCCGGAAGAGAGGCACTGTCGCTGTTGCGAATGCCGAAGCATCCTCTCTAAACAGGGGAGTTGGACCGAGGTCGGTTGACCAAGCTCGGCCAACTGGTAAGTTAACCAGCGGTCAGGGAATCCGGCTAAGTCCCGAATTCCAAAGTTCGGGTCGGACAAAACCGTGCTTGTGTCATACGACTTCTGTGGTCGCCAAGTGGTAATGCCGATAAAGTGTGGTCGGTTAAAAACCGTTAAATCTGCTACCACGAGCCTGGTTAAGACTTTTTCGAGGCGAACTGGCTCGAAGGTCCGATCGGAATTTGTTGCTCCATCCATCCGCTGATGGTTCACTGGTGTCATCCGACCTGTTGTCGGTTGGGATGGATATCCGACCTGAGGTCGGTCACAATGTTATCCGACCTAAGGTCGGTGATAACGCACCTCCATGGTCGACCTCGGTAACTCGTGTTATGTTAGGCCCATATGGGGCCACAAGTCCCGTTAGGTCGAATTCGTCCATTTCGAGCCGCGCGTGGTCGGTGGTAATGTTGTACGACCTGAGGTCGGTTACCACGTGACTAGTCCGTTCGAAGGTCGTATTTCGGCTAATCCGCTGATGTTCTAGGCGAATCCGAACGATCCGGCATTCCTAACCGACTTCTGTGGTCGGTTGGACCGGTTATCCGACCTGAGGTCGGTGATAATGTTATCCGACTCGAGGTCGGTTATTCCAAATCCCAGGTCGATTGAGGTCGGTTTCTTCCGTCCGGAAGTCGTTTTCCGTGAGCATCTTGGTTGGCGTCTCCATCCACCGACCTGTTGTCGGTTACTTCACGTGTCCGACCCGAGGTCGGTTGCAACGTTATCCGACCTGAGGTCGGTGATTCCATAATTCCGTGTTCAACCGAGGTGAGCTACGGTATGCAGGCTCCAAGTGGAGCCATACAAGTCCGTTTCGGTCGAATCCTCCTCATAACCGACCCGTTGTCGGTTACTCAACTTTATCCGACCTGAGGTCGGATATAATGTTATCCAAACCAAGGTCGGTGGTTCTTCATCCAGGTCGGTTCCGTCCGTTGAGTGGTCGGTTTAAGCCTCTGGGCGTCCGTCCGGACTCCGTAAGGTTATTTTGGAGCAGTAATCCGGTTCGTGCCTCTAACATGCCCTGGTTCGGGTCGAGAACTTTGCCTCTGGACGGGTCCGAGTTCCGTCACGTTCGGCGATTCCATGGCGTCTGTTGGCCATCCAGCATGCACTATTGGTCGCTTGTGGCATCGAGGGACTTCTGTGGTCCCACTCCACAAGACAGACTCTTTGGTTTTAGACCGGCGTACAGTTCTCACGCCTAGGCAGCGTTGTGCCTCGGGCCCCGACTTATGTCAGACTGCCCGTTCCCATCCCCATGCAGCATGCAAACTGAGGTAGAATCAGATCTTCACTTCCCTGGTTGGAGTTTCTTCGTTCCGTTCCACGAACCTGTGACGCCTTACCGCTTCTGTTGGGGGAAGACATCACACGTCCGTGGTGGGGTCTGTTTGAGGGGTGCAGTTCGCGACTACTAGCGCGTCTGCCTAAGATGTTCCCTTGGTACGTCCTGGGGAAGCGGGTTGGCGGAGTCACCTCGTCTTCGGATATCATAAGAGTTGTCAGATGTTGGCCAAACCGTCGGGGGCCCCTTCAGGTAAAGGCAGCACGGTCAAGCCGCGCGTAGTCATGTCACCGTTGAATCGGTTGGTTTATCCGATATCCTCCGGGGGAGACTTCGGTTGGACTCCGGGTACAGGTTCCTAGTTGAGAGCCTGTAGGTCTAAGTTCAAACGGAGAATCCGGCCAAACTAAAATCGTCATTCCCGCGGTCTGCGGTTACCATTACCGACTTCTGTGGTCGATAAAGGTAAACTATTAAATAAGGCACTCCGATTTCTGACTTCCGTATACTTCCTTCAGGTCGACGTCAGTTGACATTTCGCGGTAACATCTCGCGGGTCGGCTACCGTTGGTAGGATCGACTTCTATGGTCGATTCTAGGTAGCATGTCGTAGTTGACGCGATCCGTTTTGCTGTGGTCTTACTTCCGGAGTCCGGTTGCCGGAGTAAGCCATGGGGTGCTTTGCCAACCAAGCTTGACCTGAAACACGCCGCAATGCCGTGTTTCGAGCCATGCTAGCGGAATCCTCGCTGGTTTTCTGCTCCGGAGTCCGGTTGCCGGAGTATTTTCGCAGCTTATTCCTCGGATGTAAAGTCGAAACTTCACCGACTTCTGTGGTCGGCTAAGTTATTATACTGATTGGTTTCGCTCATCTACCTCGGGGATGGTTGACTTCCGTGGTCACCTGAGGTAGTAGATCGTAGGGTCCAAGTTCTACCTTGAGGTTGGTTGACTTCCGTGGTCAACGAAGGTTGTGGATCGTGGTTCTGTGGCACGGTCTGCGCCGCTTCCTTTCTTAGTTTAGCTATCTCGGGAATAGTCAACTTCTGTGGTTGACTGAGGTAGCAAGACGTGGTTAAAGTCGCGGTCTGCGGAGTTTGATCTTTGGGCGGGAATCCGGTTCTTCGCTCCTGACTTTAGTTAACTCAATGCGCCTAGTCGTAACAGGTCGGTTTTGACTTCTGTGGTCAATTCCGAACCATGTGACATTCCGTCCCGACGAGGATACCAGTGTCTGCGGTGACGAAAGTTACTGGTCGGTTACCCGGTCCTAAAGTCGGCCACGGGTGCCAGGCAAACACGGTGTGAAACAAGCGCAGCGACGTGTTTCGCACCATGTTAGCATAATCCTCTCGGTCCATACTCCGGAGTCGGTTGGCCGGAGTAATTTTCTTCGGTAGCAGAACGTGGTTCGCGATATGCTATGTTAGCAGGCCGGGGCGTCTGCTGTCTCCGGTCAAAGCAGATGTGGTTGTCGATCTGCCCATGCCATGCTGGGGAACTGAGGTCGGTTGGTCAGTTCGTTCCAGGGGATTCCTTGGGGGACGTCCCGGTAGGGTGAAAGAACCGAAACACCCCGGTCTTGACCACGCGTTTCCGGGTCTAACCGAAGAATCCGGCCAACTTATGTGGTTGGCTCTTCTGGTATGTTCGTGGTTCACGTTTGCTGTTTTGAATCTGTAAGAAAAAATTAAAAGAAACTATCCGTTCCATGTATCCACGTCGTTTCTCGACGATGCTGTTTCTCAGCTGGGCAGGTTCTCCGCCAGGTCGATTCTCGACTCTGCCGTTTCTCGGCTTGATGTCCCATCCTTACTGTTGAAGTTAGGGACCCAGGTTC